TAAAGAGTGGAACGCTGTACAAGGAACTATAGAAAACACTTACCCTCCTTGGTTGGAAGATGGTTCTTCTCATTTGTGTTAGTCTTCTTTAGTTTACATTTGTCAAACTTCTCCACCTCCTCAGTGACGGGATTGTTATCGCTCATTTTGGAAGAGTTCTAATGGAAGAATGCATGACAAAATGTTAAAATAAAAACATCCTTTCATCACTCACGCTGCTGTTGGCAGAGCCTGCCTGTACAGGTATCATACCAAGCCCCACATCTGTAAGAAAGCCAGTACTGTGCTGAACTCTGGGGTTATGCAAGACGCATGTAGACATGGACTTGATTGACCCACCTTCCTACAATGAGCAAACAGCTCTAACGTGGTATCCGGTTACAGACTACTTTTATCTACATGTATTCAGTTGCACTAGTGAGATCATGTATTTGAGCACAGAGTTGTGAAGTGTTAATAAACACCAGGGCAAAAATAAAATATAAATAAAAACAAGTACAGGAAGTCAACTGGGAAATGAAAGGTTTCCGTTTGCTGGGAGTGGCCTACATCTGCTTGCCAAAAAGTTTGCCTAGAACATAACATTTTTTTTCCCCAGAATGTACTAAACCTAGAGGACCATGTTTTCTGTACAGTTTCTGCCAACACTACGATGTTAAAAGACATTCAGCGCGGAACTTGTGACTGGAGCAGGGGTCGACTGGTGTAACAATAACACCGTCCACCCCTACAGATAGCAAAGACTGCGCATGCTGCGCGCATTTCATATTCAACAGAACGGTGAGAATGTGGTAGGCCAAAATAACAGCCACAAACACATCCAGGACAGGTTTGGCTAGAAGTCCCATATGGACCAGCTAGTAGAGGAATGCAGCGTGACCAGGTGACCATACCCACCTCTCACAGAATCATGAGTATACTGACAGTGACTAACTATACTGACACAGCTGGATAACCTACAACCTAAATGCTGCATTACACTATACATCTCTACTACACTGAAAAAAATTCTTAAAATCAATTAGGCTATGATATTTGCATTACACTGCATTGAAATTATTGTGCCAAAAAGCAACACAGAACAGCGTTACCTGGTTCAGAGGTGCGCAGTAATAATGTCGTTCTCAGGTAAGATGCGTGGATACAATCCGTGTAGAGCACTCGGGTTTAAATAGACACAGCACGCCCTTCTGCGCACTAACATGGACACGGATGCTCCGACTCTCATTGGCTCGCAAATCTCGCAGGAAGAATTTTAATTGGATAACAGACTTCCCTGGAATATTACAGACCCCTCCTCCTTTGCCCAGTCTTGGCTAATGTGGTAGTCATCTGCATTGTTTCTCCCTGTACCAGCATGTAACAGCCACTGTGCTGCTGATCAACACGCTGAGCTCCCGTTGATGAGAACAGGTTCATGTTTAACACATGTAACACAGCACCATCTAGTGGAGTGATTATGACATGACAAGGCTTGACATGAATCCATTCCAGGAGTGTGTGAACAACAAATAGAAATAAATTAAGTTCATGATGGATGACAGTTTATTGGTGTACTTTTAGAAAAGAAGTATGAATTCTGCTTTAATTATTTGTGCATGCCATAAAGTTGTATTCTGATTAAATGCTTTGAGCATGAAAAATCTTATCAGATCAGCATCTGTGTAAACAGTTAAGTTGGACTCTCTAATCAGAATGATTTCAAGTATCTAAGTTATTTGTTTGAATCATTTATGTCATAAATAATATCTATAGATTATTAACATTATAACATATATACTGAGAACTTCACATGATGAGTAACAACAGATGAAAATTCCCTTTAAGACAAGAAAATAATAATAATAATACAAAGCACCTGTGATTTACCAGCAACACATGAATGTCTCTAGTGCAAAACAAACACTGTTTGTAATAAATACATGCCCACCACCTCACAGACTGGGGTTGTGTATATTCTGACACAGTGTTTGTTGGCTAGGACCCAAAGATTCAAAACAGATCGGATCACATTTGCAAATCCAAAATTCTGTGATCCAGGATCAGACAACTCAGCCAGATATCTCAAAGCAATTCAGGATAAGATCACCCTGATCCACAGTCAGACTTTTCAAGATGTCCAGATCTTGAATATTGGTCTTTTAGTCCTGTCTATGTCCATCTAGTGGATATGAAGAACAACATAAGGAAAACAGACAGTATAATAGTTCAGAGACATTTTCCCGTAAATGAGAGACTGAATGGTCATGAAATCAATCATTTGTGATTGGCATCATTTCTGTTCAGATAATAATAAACACATAAGCATTGGTTGAATACACCCTTCTGAGAGGAATGCTAGTGGCTACTGCAAGTGTGACAAAAACAGATGAAAATGTAACAACCATATAAAGGCTACAAATGATGTATTATTTCAATTTACAAATTTAACCATCCTATTTACACTGAGACATATTTTTAAATTGTACAGTACATTTTGCTCTGGTAACCCACCAGAAATCCACCCCCCTGGTGGGATCAAGGTAATCTAGATGTTTTGAATCAAACTGATGTCAATCCTATGTTTTTGCTTTGACCTGTCCGGTTTGAGGATTTGATCCAGATTAAAGTTTGGATCTGACTCTATTTTCAACCTGTCATCTTTACATCCCATAAAGACTTCATCTATGTCTCCTCAGCCTGAATGTTTCACCTGTCTGTCATAGATAGCAGTTGTGATTCCCCATGTGATGCATGATCTCAGAATAACCAGTAATCCTCCTCTGTATAGCAGAGCCACACTTTGCTGCCGAGATTTCCAGAGCATCCTCCAACAAGCCAGGACTCCTTTCATCTCCCCTCCCACCTGTGTCTGCATGTTTGCTACTAGCACAGAGAGTGGATAGAGAGTCAAGCTAATGGCCATGGATGTCAGTGTCCCTGAGATGAAGGAGGAGGTGAATGGAGAGAGTCCCTGTCTTGCCACAAAAGCACACATGGGCCCCTTTAGGCCAAAATAGAGGGCACTGCCTAGACTGTTGCGGGCCGTGATGGGCAGGAAGGCTCTGTAGTACCCTAAGGCCACTCCCTGTGTCTTCAATCTGACAAGAATACTTTTCAGGGTGGGGAGATGATGATCATTCTGGCCATTCTGCAGCACATTCTGGACGCGCTCAAAGGGAGTAAACACCACAGCTTCTACCACACCTGCACCGAATCCAGCCAGAGCAGACATGGGGATAACATTTTGGGATGAGGGAGAGAGTTGGTAGAGAAGGGTGTCCTGCAGACCAAAGAGCAGTGTGCCATTCAGAGTCCTCATCAGTAATGGTGGGGCCACACCCCTGTAGAGTTTTAAAGGTCCCTCTTTGTAGAGCTGTCCCACTGCCAGGCGCACAGGAGTGTTGTGGATTTGTTGACGGAACACAGTCTTGTAAATAGGGAAGACAATAAGGGTGGGGAGAGTGGACAGCAAGCTGGAGGTTCCTCCATGCAAGTAGCTTTGGAAACGAACACCTGGGTCACTAAGGCCCTCTTCATTCTCTTTGTGATTAGAATTTACTGCCATTCTTGAGCTGAGTAATAATAAAATCACAAATCACTTCAAGCTTGGACTATCCCTAAACATTTATAACATAGTCATAGCCTAATAGAAATCAAGAAATTAAATAAAGATCACCAGCTGGAAAATCACATTAAAATTACACTTAAGGTATGCCATTTTTTAGCCTAACACCATACAGGCAAAACAAAATAAATGTAAACCGTTGTATTTACTTACTTTTCCTTCGTTCATTGTTTGAAATTGAAGGCAGCACCGGCGTCCATTGTTCCAGCACTGCACTTGGAGAGAATTATTTTCTGGTTATTTATCCAGTTGAGATGACAACGGGGTTTTTACTCGTTTCTATCCTAATAAGGACATATAGCCTACTAACTGCCTTATGTTGTCAGAATTGTGTGTAACGGTATCAACGGTATCGAGATGCACTTCCCATTAATCTGCCGGTGCCTCTTCTGAAATAGCTATTGGTCAAGACTGGTTGCGTCATGTGATCGGGAATTGGTTGTTTCTCCTATCAATCAAAGTCGTTCTTCTAAACGAGGATGTGTTCAATGATGAAAACAGCTGTTACTACTGCAAATAATACGCAAATTGAATGTTGTTTTTACTTATATCGTCACAGTAGTCCCCAGGTTTTAAGATTAAGATCATTTTACCATAACTAAAACAAATCTTTTAATTATTTTATATCAACTCTGAAATTATTTGCCTAAATGAAGGTTCCAAGGATGTTCTATTTCGTATAGGCTTCGCCCTCTAAGAGCTGTAGCCATTGGGTTCTCCCCTCATAGAGGGCTACGCCTATACTGAAAGAATCTTGGGTTACTGAACGTAACCATCGTTTCAGAACCTTCCTTACTGAATCCTGTAACACAGCTCATAATATTGTCTAAAACTAGAATAAGCCTATAACATATAGACCACAATTCATATAAAACTACAGAATGTAAACTCACCAAGAACACTAAACTTCCAACATTTCCAAAAAACACAGCATGAATTTGGTGTCCTCAGTGGTAATCCAAGTTTATAATTTCAAGAATCCGCTTTTATAAATACATGAATAAAACGAATTATACATTTAGCCCACATTATATCAAATAAAAACAAATGCTATGTTTAAGATTTTATGCACATCTTTTATTAAGAACGCATCCTACTGAAAAAGTGATGGCAAAGGTTTGGAATATGCACATTAAAGACAAACCCTTCCTCCAGACATAAAAAAAGTAAAGCAGGTGAACATTTCTGATTGAAGCCCCAGCCTGCAGAGACCCCAAGCTAAAAACCCTGTACAGCTTCTCAATAGGAACGTCTTCAACATAAAACCTTGAACGGTAACCCCAGGACACTGGGCAAATCCCACTCAATGAGGGCACCTCAAAAGTTGAAGGGGGAAAAAAAAAAACAAACAAACAGAACAAAACAAAAACATGCCAACAAGCCTGATGAGACATGAAAGCGCTTCATCTGGTCACAGAGACAAAAAAATAGCAGGCAAAAGAAGAAGACAGTCATTTAATTTCAGACTGTTGAGGCACTCTAGGTTGAGTGGAGCTTCAGTGGCACTGTAAACTAGTTCAATACACATTCACTTCATTAATTATAATATTTCCAACAGCTGAGGATACAAGAGCAACATGAAAAACTACACTCATTCACTGTAACAAAAAGCACTGTAATATGCCAGATACTTCTCCTGATCAATGGATCCTGCCAAGGATATTTATATAAGCTCTCTGTCAATGGATTGAAGGGACTCCTGGAGAGGTGTAAAAGTCAGGTCTGTATCTAAATGTTATGAAAGGGACACAAAGTTCACACTGGATAAACACTTCTTTATCTACAATAAATGCACTGGCCTAAACTGGTAGCTTGCGACTGCTTTGGTGCCCCAGAAAATGAAGCGAGAGAGTGTTCAAGAGGCAAGAGACTCAGTAGGTGGGGTCAGCATTAGTAACAGACAGGAGAGGGTTTTTTGTTTTTTTTTTACCCTCAATCCAAGGTTAGTTGGCAGAACATCTTTGCTAATGGTTGTGTTTGAGTTAGAGAATTCCTTCTTTTCTTATTTGGTGTAAAAGCGCACTGCAGATGCGATTTGTTACAAGGGGACATGGCTGAACAGGTAGGACACAGACTCGCCGTTGTGAGTTCTACGGATGGCCTCTGCAAGGATCATGGATATGTCAATAACCTGGAGGCAGAGAAAATGGGATGTTGTTTAGTAACTGAACACTGATGACTCTTTGCTAGTCATTTACAAATAATAATGACTAAACCAATAAAACCAAGGTAAACTGTGTATACTGACCTGTATTTTGGGACAATGCTTCATCTTCTCCTCCTGAGGGATTGTGTTGGTGACCACAACAGCTTCAAAGCAGGCATTGTTGATGCGTGAGATAGCTGGGCCAGAAAAGATGCCATGGGTTAGGATGGCATACACCTTGGTGGCACCAGCGGAAATCAGTCTAAGGAATTAAAAACGGTAAAATTACACATCACCAGATGACTGAACATATCTTACAACAGATGCCACTAAATAGAGGCCAATAATGACCCCTTTCTACATTAACTTAACAGTTGCCCTTTTGCCTATGGCTCAGACTTCTGTTGTACTGTAAAGTTGCAAATCTATAACACAAAAAAGGTTAAAAAGAAGGTGGGGCTCACTTGTCAGCAGCATGGCATACTGTGCCGCATGTGTCGGCCATGTCATCCACTAGAATGGCGACCCGCTCGGTCACATCTCCAACGAGAACCATGCGGTCCACCTCGTTTGCCTTTTTCCTCTCCTTGTGGATAAGAGCAAAGTCCACATTCAACCTGTCTGCTATTGAGGTGACCCTGCAAAGGAAAAATATAAGATCTCTGAGTTGGTGTGCATGTCAAAGTGTATAAAACCTTAATGGTACATATCAAATTCGAGCCCTGTCACAGATTATAACTAACAAAGGTTTAATCTTAGGTAAAATCTACAAGAAATCTGGCAAGGATAAGCTATGCTCAAAGGTGAACCCTATGGCATGTGGCTCTAGCGTACCTCTTGGCTCCTCCTGCATCAGGTGAGACAATGATACAGTTTTTCCATTCAGGAATGTTCTCTTTGATCCATTTCAGCACAGCTGGCTCTGCATACAGGTTATCAACGGGAATATCAAAGAAACCCTGGGAAAAAATAACAGTGGTATATGGACTCGGGCCAAAAGGAGCTGAACATAAAATACCTGCTGGAAGGGCCAAGAGAAGGTTCATAATTTCTCTTTGTTGATGTGTATGTAAACATAAGGCTAAGAGAGTCAGTCTTTAATGTAGGTTCTCCAAAATATGGTGCAAATGAGTTTAGGAAACATGCTAAAAAGATTACCCAAAAGACTGATTATTGGCAGGAAAGTGACTACAGTGCACTTCTGTTTAGGTCTGCTTTCATGTTACTCACTTGTATCTGTGAGGCATGCAAGTCCATAGTAATGATATGGTCAGCGCCTGACACTGACAACATGTTGGCCACCAACTTGGCAGAGATGGGAGCACGACTCTGGAATAATCACATGGTACAAGTGAACTGGACAGCATGACTTCTTTCTATAAATAACACTTAACTGAAACCTTAGCAAGCCATTAATATTATTCCCACCAAACATAATCTTTTGAACTCTAGAAATCATGTTTGGCCACTGATGCTTTCACTTAATATTTAACATATAATGGGATAGATAATGTGCAAAAATCACCACTATGTACTTCACCGGTCAAATGTTTGGACACTTTCCCATTCAATTCAATAGGAAAATGAGTCCAAACCTTTGACAGGGTGTGTACATATGAATGTTACACACACAAGAGCATTCATACATTTTGCTCAAAGAGTCAAATACATTAAAAATGAACATTTGGCCCAACTGTGACATTCTGCTATACTGTTACTGCTATATGCTTTAGAATAAAACACATGCAATTAAATATTAAAAGATCTCCCATTCAGTTTAATAAAAGTTTAGACTTAGAATGCAAACCATTCCACTGATGCTATATAACTAAAATTTAAATAACAGGCAAATATCTGTACAAGGAAGAATGAGATGGCAACTGCAGTTCATTCAGCAAAACATAGAGTGAGGGTGAGGAAACAAACAAAGAAAGCAAATATGTTTTATGGATTGGCTGTTGATGAATATGGCTGCAGGCTTCTTGTCATGATGCTGGATGACAAATTGCATGACAGAAGTAATTAGACAGTTAGCCCTCACCCCCACCTTGTCCTTCTTGTCTTGCCGGGCGTATGGAAAGCAGGGAATGACAGCTGTGACTCTGGAGGCCGAGGCAATCTTACAGGCGTTGATCATGATCAGCAGCTCCATCAAATTGTCATTGATCTCCCCACAGCCACTCTGCACGATGTACACATCTTCCCCACGTACGCTCTCACCTATCTCCACGCTGTCAGAGGAGAAAGGTGATAAATAACACTTAATACCATGGAGCTAACACCACAGCAAACAGGAGCTAGATGAGCCAGAGCAAACAATGGCCTGTGTCTAATTTTATGTGTGATGTGATCTGAACTAGAGTTAACCCCGAAGAAAGGGAAAATGCGTATAAGTATCAATATAATATGTGGTGTTCCATTAACATTTCATTTTACTGAGACAACTAGGATGGATTTCTGGCTCAGAAATAGCGGACTATAAGTTAGCATAAGTTCTCAGCCATGCGTGGACTACAAGTTCCTAACAACACTGCGCGGCAAATTCACCATGACACCAGTTTCTAATTAAATACATGTCGCTAGGCTGCAACATTTGCCTATTCACACGTAATTATATGTCTCAAAAACTACACTCACCATGTTTCTTGGTTGCTAAATTTCTTCGTAACAACCTTCCCCAGTTCCAGACCCAGGCGGTCGGCTATTTTCTGAGACAGATCCGGATGGGAGCTACCGCTGAATATTTTGATATTTGGCATTCTGTTGCGGTCCAGGGCGTCTTACAATACGAGATTGCACAGGCAGCGAGCAACTGTCGAGTCAGAGGGAACGAAGAAGTCAAAAAAGAGTGAAAACAGATCAACAGTTGATGATCTACTCTTAGCGAGTTAAACTGTGTACCCTACCTATCCACCATTATGTCCAAAACCTCACGCGTACAGCTCTTCCTTACGGTCCGCGCGCACGCGTTCACATACGTTCTGCCGGCATGACGTCATCGAAGCACGTGTGGCGGGGCGCGCGAGCGAGGTAACACCATGGGTAATACGTGATCATACACACACAACTAATGCAAATTAAAATCGTTAATAAACAGAAACGTCAAGCATATTGGTGTCAAGATAACATTATTTGTAAAAGGTACACAGTAAACAGTGGAAAAATAATCTGTAACAAGTAGTCTAATAGTCCTACATTCAAAATTTTACCTGAGAACAAGTACAAAATTAAAATACTTAAAGTAGCAAAGGCTGTTATTGGATTAAGATTGATGTATCCTATTGTGTACATCATTATAATGCTGCAGCTGGTTAAGGTGGAGATACTGCTGGGTAGCATTGTGAATTCCCACTGGGGATTAATAAAGACTTATACAGTGTTTTGAATTATTAATCTGATTCTGATAAGTGACTAAAGTTATTAAATGCACTTAGTGGAGTAAAAAGTATGCCTCTAAAATGTTGCAGAACTGAAGTAGCTTGTGGGGTAGCAGAAAACAAGTACAGGTATTTTGAAATTGTAGCTATTTAAGGTGCATAAAATTGTACAAACATCTGATAAATCAAGTGAAAATGGGGCAGGAGATGATATTTAGATACATATATATGATCCTCCATAATGGTCTGCAATTACAATTATTCTGTTGTTATTCAAGCCTCTCTGCCCTGTGTTGTCATTACATTCTGGAAATTAACCCCACTGCCACATAGCAAAGGTTAAGAAGCCTTTTTCAAACCACAAGAAATTATTTTGATCAGGCAGCCATGACTGAAAGCTGCTAAAAGTTAGAGGTTGTGTCCAAAATCATTCCCTCAGTCACTAATTTAGCCTATACTAAGTAGTTACATAATGTACACTACAGTAGTACTTAGTGTCTATTGTACTTAGTTACTTTCTAGCATTCGCTCAACCTGGAAGTTGGTTTGGTTTGTCATTTTGATGGACATCCCAAAGCTCATTTTTTTGCTCTTAGGAGCTTGGATCCCTTGTTCACCTATGGTGTGAGGATAAGATGAGGGTTTAATTTTGATGTTGTATAGAGAAAGTGAAGTTATCATCACACTGTGTTGAATTCTGGGTAAATGCCCCATTTTTGGGGGGTGGGGGGTTTGCTCGTTATCCATCATCAAGATATACTGTATACTACATACATTTATAAGATAATTTTAACAAAACCTATCGCATACAACTACATACAATAGAAAATGCTTCCAAATGTCCAATTTGGTTTTCAATTTGAGTCGAGCCAGGACAAAAATTGATTCATCTACAATGTTTGTGTTGTCTGCCGACAGCTGCTGGCTAATGTTAGCTCCCGAACTTAGAGCTCAGATCACAGTGCTGAGTCATTTTTCAGTCTGTCTCTCTTTGACAGGATCTCCTGGTTCAGTGCAAGTTCTGTCAGCTAAGGTTATCCATTTTGAATTACTACAGTCAGTAAAGTGAGACTTAAACAATTTAAGAAACTTTTTAACCATATAAAACAAGAATATGTGCAGGTAAGCCCTTTCCTCTTGGTGTGACCTGATCTAGCTAGTGATCATGATTGTATCAGTTAGAATAGTTTGCAAGTGCATAAGTTTACAAATACAGCAGTGAAAAGATTAGTCTCTGTGTAAAATCCCAGACAGCCCCGTAGTCTCATGTAGCCACTTGTTAGTAACTGTCTTTTTTTTTAAAAGACACATCATGTAGTATTTCCTGGTTTATTTAATATCGTAGAACAAAACCACAAGCGGGTAACCAAAAACCCATAAAAACCTAAAGACTTCAGGGCGAAGGAACTGGAAGTGCAAAATGCCTACTCAGTTCTGGGTTTTAGGACTCACTACTACAGCACTCTATATTAGTTTGTTAGAGGTAAAAGAATGAAACAAATACAGTAGTATTCTGCAGCAAGAGAGACTTTCCCCTCTAATTTTTCACATGATGTCACATTAAGTCATTTGTTTGTAGTCATTCCGACAGACACCCTACCACTACAGAAAGTTTTCTGAATGCAATGTCATTTCCAAATTCTCTGAAAGAGTTTATATAATATACTTTATTGCTCTTAAAACATGAGTAAACTTTGTACACAGACAGAAGACCACAGTGACGACAGGATAATTGACAACAAATAAAGACAAAAATTAACAGGTGCACATGAAGAAACGATGGGTAAAGCCATGGTGGTCTCATCATGTGAATGAAACAGACAAATCCACACAGTTTAACAAAGCAAGTAATCAGTGACAACCACAGAAAATGTTTACTATAATGTTAAAATGTTCAAGTGCTGATGAGAGAACACTGTCGGATGTTTTTGTATATAAAAATAAATGTCCCATGCTTTATACTCATAATATACTCTTTAAAATATGTTTTGCTATTAGTCTCTATGTTACATTACTACTATAAATAATTACCTTACAGACATGTTTTTCTTTTTCCTTTTTACAAAATAGTGAAGACTTTGGATAAATCTTAATTTTACAAGTAATGTTTAAAAGTGTTTCTTATTCTCTCAAATATGTTATCTTGTTATTTACATTAACAGTGTATAGTAATACATTTCCATACCTTGTATCATTTGCAAAACATTAACATATTGCCACTGCAGCCTTTCAGTTTTACCTGTTTTTCTACTTTAGACCTGGAAATTCTTCTGTGCAAACAACATCATTACCATCAATGATCAAAGTACCTGCCCCTGAAAGTCATATACATAAGGGAAAACATGCAGTACCACAAAAGAGGAAACACTGCATATGGTTATGGAAAATGCCACATCAACAGTGAAGGAAAAAACTATTAAAAGATAATGCATGTAAATGCCACAAATGTGTTCTGAAGCCAAGAAACAAAGTGCAGTTAGGTGTAAATTTTCTAACTAATAATCAAAACTGAAATTACTTAAAAATAAACATTAATGGTATAACTGGGTCAGATTTACAACAGTATGAAGGCATAATTTTGTTAGAAATCAGTAAGCACAATTAAATGATCGCCCACTACTGATTCATAATGTTTTTCAAATATTAAACATTTCTAAGTTTGTTTAAACTACGCTATATATATGCACTGTGTGGCATTTGGTATCCTAACATTACTGTCTTACCACCTACTTTGGATCAAGGTTCACCGAGTTCTGTTATATCACAAAGGACTGATCAACACACTTTCATGTAAAAAAACAGCAATATTGCATTTCTTGTCTTCAGAATAGTGGCAGCCTAGTTCTCACTGTTAATTTAGTTTCACAGCACTTTATTTTAACAGTATTCCCAGTTTACATGTTAGGTCAGTGCAACTAAATGTTCTGTGACTAATTTCCAGGAATAACAAGTTGAGACACAAATTTCAGACAGGAAACGGATGTGTTAGTTTTATTAAAATACATAGAAAACTACTTTGTGTGTTCCTTATATATATATACTAGATTGCACAATGTATAACAGCACATAGAAAGCAAATTTGTTTTTATGGTATCTGAAAACCTGAATAAAAACATAGGTTCTTTTGAAACAGATTTAGCTTTAGCTTTAGGTTTGAAGAGATGAATTATGTAAAAGTGGTGGTGCTGACTCAATTGAGTGTTTTCATCAGCAGAGTGAATAAAGAACACTGAATCATACATTAAAGGATACATTTCAACTTCAGAGCTAATTTCAGAGGTTGTGCAAAATCCTAGTGATATGCTTACTCAATTGCAAGTGGATGGCTATATTTAAAACTATGTTTCACGACAAGTGAGTGATGGTGTAAAGTACACTGTGTGTTATTAAATACAGTGTGGGTATTCCTTACAGTTGAGTGCGGTGCCAACACTCATTACTGTACAGTGGATAAAACTGTGACTTGGGTCTCTGCTACATTGTCTGCCCTGAGCAGGTGTGTGTCATACCTGCACTGTTATATTGAGAGAACGGGCCTCTTTCAGTCAGTTTATTATATCATTCTTGTCTTTCAGTTTTCATACATTTTCCACCACTGTATGTTTGATTGTTGTATCAGTACACCAGATATTGTCAACACAACCAACAGAGACCTCCATTTTGCATTAAAACAGAAATTTCAACAAACAAACACATCACCATCTAACCAACCAATGCTTTGGACTATGCAATTTACAGGAGTCGCTACTTGATGAGATCTCTCAAATATTTTAATCCAGATACATTTATTTCTGATAACTTATTATAATTTTTATACTGTATTTCTCTTAACTCAGTACATTTCAAATATATTTTTCATCTTTTTT